AAGCAACAGGATACACATTCTTCTCAAGTGTACATGGAACATTTTCAAGAATAGATCATATACTAGGCCACAAAAAGAACCTCAGTAAATTCAAAAAGATTGAAATTGTACCAACCAGCTTCTCACATCACAAAGGTATGAAACTAGAAATAAATTACACAAAGAAAATGAAAAAGCCCACAAACACATAGAGGCTTAATAACATGCTCCTAAATAATCAATGGATCGATGACCAAATAAAAACAGAGATCAAGCAATATATGGAGACAAATGACAACAATATTTCAACACCATAAAATCTGTGGGATGCAGCGAAGGCCGTGCTAAGAGGGAAGTACATTGTAATACAGGCCTACCTCAGGAAAGAAGAACAATCCCAAATGAACAGTCTAAATTCACAATTAATGAAACTAGAAAAAGAAGAACAAATCAGGCCCGAAGTCAGTAGAAAGAGGAACATAATGAAGATTAGAGCACAAATAAATAAAATTGAGAAGAAAAAAACAATAGAAAGAATTAATGAAAGCAGGAGCTGGTTCTTCGAGAAAATAAGCAAAGTAGATAAACCCCTAGCCAGATTTATCAAGAAAAAAAAGAGAGTCTACATACATAAACAGAATCAGAAATGAGAAAGGAAAAATCACTATGGACATCAAAGAAATACAAAGAATTATGAAAGAATACTATGAAAAATTATATACTAACATACTGGATAATCTAGAAGAAATGGACAACTTTCTAGAAAAATACAACCTTCCAAGGCTGACCCAGGAAGAAACAGAAAATCTGAATAGACAATTACCAGCAATGAAGTTGAATTGGTAATCAAAAAACTATCTAAGAACAAAACCCCTGGATGAGATGGTTTCACTGCTGAATTTTTTTCAAACATTTAGTGAAGACCTAATACCCATCCTCCTTAGTTTTGCAAAAAGTAGAAGAGGAGGGAATACTTCCAAACTCATTCTATGAGGCCAGCATCACTCTACCAAAACCAGGCAAAGACACCACAAAAAAAGAAAATTAGACCAATATCCCTGATGAACATGAATGCAAAAATACTCAACAAAATATTAGCAAACCAAATTCAAAAATAAATCAAAAAGATCATACATCATGATCAAGTGGCATTTATTCCAGAGATGCAAGGATGGTACAACATTCAAAAATTCATCATCATAAACCACATCAACAAAAAGGACAAAAACCACATGACATCTCCTTAGATGCTGAAAAAGCATTCAACAAAATTCAACATCCATTCATGATAAAATCTCTCAACAAAATGGGTATAAAAGGCAAGTACCTCAACAAAAATAAAGGCCATATATGACAAACCCACAGCCAACATTATACCTAAAAGGGACAAGCTGAAAGTTCTTCCTTTAAGATCGGGAGCAAGACAAGGATGCCCACTCTCCTCACTTTTATTCAGCAATAGCTCTTGAGGTCCTAGCCTTGGCAATCAGACGACACAAAGAAATAAAAGGCATCCAGACTGGCAAGGAAGAAGTTAAACTGTCCCTGTTTGCAGATGACATGATATTATACATAAAAAAAACCCTAAAGAATCCACTCTAAAATTACTAGATCTAATATCTGAATTCAGCAAAGTTGCAGGATACAAAATTAATACACAGAAATCTGTTGCATTCCTATACACTAATGGTGAACTGGCAGAAAGAGAAATCAGAAAAACAATTCCATTCACAATTGCATCAAAAAGAGTAAAATACCTAGGAATAAACCTAACCAAGGAGGTGAAAGACTTATACTCTGCAAACTACAAGACACTCATGAGAGAAATTAAAGAAGATACCAATAAATGGAAACACATCCATGCTCATGGATAGGAAGAATTAATATTGTCAAAATGGCCATCCTGCCTAAAGCAATCTACAGGTTCAATGCAGTCCCTATAAAAATACCAAAAGCATTCTTCAACAAACTAGAGCAAATAGTTCTAAAATTCATATGGAACCACAAAAGACCCCGAATAGCCAAAGCTATCCTGAGAAGGAAGAATAAAGCAGGGAGGATTACATTCCTCTACTTTAAGCTCTACTACAAAGCCACAGTGATCAAGACAATTTGGTACTGCCACAAGAACAGAGCCATAGACCAATGGAACAGACTAGAGAATCTAGATATAAACCCAAGCATATTATGGTCAATTAATATACAATAAAGGAGCCATGGATATACAATGGGGAAATGACAGCCTCTTCAATAGCTGGTGTTGGCAAAAGTAGTGATTTTACAGCATCTTACTATGCAGATGGACAGTGACTGTGAAGCGGTATGTGGGGGGGACTTGGTGAAGGGGGGAATCTAGTAAACATAATGTTCATTCTGTAATTGTAGATTAATGATACCAAAATAAAAAAATAAATTAAAAAACAAAATGGGTGGAGGATATGAACAGACAGTTCTCCAAAGAAGAAATCCAGATAGCCAACAGGCACATGAAAAGATGCTCCACATCACTAATCATCAGAGAAATGCAAATTAAAACCACAATGAGATATCACCTCACACCAGTTAGGATGGCCAACATCCAAAAGACAAACAACAACAAATGTTGGCAAGCATGTGGAGAAAGGGGAACCCTCCTGCACTGCTGGTGGGAATGTAAACTAGTTCAACCATTGTGGAAAGCAGTATGGAGATTCCTCAAAAAACTCAAAATAGAAATACCATTTGACCCAGGAATTCCACTCCTAGTAATTTACCCTAAGAATGCAGTTTCCTAGTTTCAAAAAGACATATGCACCCTTATGTTTATTGTAACACTATTTACAATAGTCAAGAAATGGAAGTAACCTAAGTGTCCATCAGTAGATGAATGGATAAAGAAGATGTGGTACATATACACAATGGAATATTATTCAACCATAAGAAGAAAACAAATCCTACCATTTGCAACAACATGGGTGGAGCTAGAGGGTATTATGCTCAGTGAAATAAGCCAGGAGGAGAAACACAAGTACTAAATGATTTCATTCATCTGTGGAGCATAAGAACAAAGCAAAAACTGAAGGAACAAAACAGCAGCAGACTCACAGAACCCAAGAATGGACTAACAGTTACTAAAGGGAAAAGGAGTGTGGGGGGCAGGTGGGAAGGGAGGGAGAAGGGGAATAAGGGGCATTACGATTAGCACACATAATGTAGGGGGGGCCACGGGGAAGACACTATAGCATAGGGAAGACAAGTAGTGGCTCTATAGCATCTTACTTCACTGATGGACAACGACTGTAATGGGGTATGTGGTGGGGACTTGATAATGGGGGGTATCTAGTAAACACGATGTTGCTCATATAATTGTATATTAATGGTAACAAAATTTTAAAAAATTAAGTGTAAAAGAAAAAGGACAGGTACTCTGGGTGTAGGTGTTGTGAAAGTAGTGGTGTCTTACAGGAAGGGAAGAGAGAAAAGTATGAAAGGCAATATATTAGTTTCAGGCCATTTAGTGGAATGGCAAATAGCCCTGCACCTTGGGGGAGGCCATTATGTTTATCATATTATCAGAAATTGTATTTATTATTTTCAGTTTGAAAAGGTAGGGTAACTGCCTTTAAAAAAATATCTTAACATTAAATTAATATATTCTTTATAAAGAATTTGGAAAGTAAAAAAAACTCAAGAAAATAGTTACATGAAAAACCTAGATAGTGCTTCAGTTGGCATTTTGATATTTTCCCAGTCATTTTTTAAACTTTTAAAAAATTATATGTCATAGTTTATTACACCCAGCTATTAATGATAGAAATGTAAAAATTAAATAGTTTGAATTTATATTCTTCCTGCTAAATTGTAACTGGGAGAATCCAGCTCAGCCTATATATCTGTGCTGTCTAGTACAGTAAACACCAGTCTAAGGTTGGTGTGCTTAGTTAAATTTGACAGAATACAGCGTGCTCAGTTAAATTTGAACTTCAGATAAATATCAGTTGTTTTAGTGTAAGCATATCCCAAATATTGCACAGCATGTACTTCTATTGAGTCTTTTTCCATGCATGTGCCTATGTATCTCCATGTATATGTGTGTGTGTGTGGTGGTGGTTTCTTTTTTTTTTTAAACAAAACTGGATTCATGATGTATCTTTTCTTTTTGTATAACACTATATCATGAGTATCCCAATGCCATATATTCTTTGGCAAAAACCAGAAAATTATCTTTCCAAATAGCTTAATATTTTGATGCTTAAAAGAATAATCTCTTTAAAACTACAGTGAGATCACCTCCCATCTGTTACAATAGCTATCAAAAAGACAGTAAGTATGGGAGAGGATGTGGAGAAAAGTGAACCCTTCTACACAGTTGATGGGAATGTAAACTGGTGCAGTCACTATGGAAAATAGTATGGAGATTGCTTAAAAAATTACAAATAGAACTACTATATGGTCCAGCTATTCCACTTCTGGATATTCAAAGAATATGGAAATACCAGTTTGAAAAGATACGTGCACCCCATGTTCATTGCAGTAGCCAAGATATGGAAACAACCTAAATGCCCATCAGTGGATGAATGAAGATGATGTATAGCTATATACAATAAAATACTCAGCCGTAAAGAAGAAGGAAATCTTGCCATTTGTGACAACTTGGATGGACCTTCAGGGTATTACACTCAATGAAGTAAGTCAGAAGGAGAAAGACAAATACCATATGATTTCAATTATATGTGGAATCTAAAAAACAAACAAAACAAAAACTCATAGATACAGAGAACAGATTGGCGGTTACCGTAGGGAAAGAGGGTTGTATCACAATTGTATAATGATGAATCGTAACTAGGCTTATGGTGATCGGTTTGTAGTGTATACAAGTATGTATGTTGTACATCTGAAACATACGATATTTAAGCTAATTTTACCTTTAAAAAAAATCAAAGTTATATAAGGCAAATAAACCTCTGAGAATGGCATTTCCTGCAGTTTGCAGAGAGGTTCCACTTGGCTTAACTGTGGTCTCTACATGTGTTTCTTTTCAGGCGGGTGCCACTTCTATGTGGGCTTCATGCTGTGGGCTGCTGAATGAAGTCATGGGAACCGGAGCTGTCAGGGGCCAGCAGTCAGGATTTGCAGGAGGCACCAGTCCATTCAGATTTACAACAAACTCTGATTTTTCCACTTACCCACCAGTACCTACAGAAGGGCCTAATATAGTCTGCAAAGCCTGTGGACTTTCATTTTCAGTGTTTAGAAAGAAGGTGAGTTGCATGAACTGTTACATACATGTATCATAATTCTTGTTTGTATGTTATTTTGAATACTAATCTTCATTTCTTTTTATAAAAATGGCAAAAAGTCGTATTCACCATTTCACATTTAGAAAAGTACTCAGTTGAAGGGACTGAACTGCTGCTCAGGTTTTCTGACTAGACGGTGTTCTCATGTTGCTTAGGCCTTTCTCCTGAACTCTGTATGCTTTGATTCTTCCTTAGGATGCTTATGTCCTGAAGCAGCAGATTTAATTAATCTGCAGTTTTGTTCAGAGATGATTTACTGTAACTGATCTTGAGTTTAAAAAATGTATCCCTAGCCCATTTTCTCAACTCAAATGAAGAAATGAGTGTATTAGGATAACTACTGTTTGGAGATTGAACATAAAACACTTGGGCTAAAACAGTTATTTTCTGTAAGATAGTCATTCTTCCTGAGAACCATCATATTGCTAGGCCATCTCAGTCTTTGATCATCAATTCAGTCCTTTGAGATACTTAAGGAACAAGGTGTTAGCTTGTGGGAACTACACAGAAATGACCACATCCCAGTGTATTCTTTAAGCTTTGCTAGTGGAATGGCTTTAATTGTGATTAAGGCTCAACATGGTATAGGTTACTGTATTATGGGGTCCTTTATGTACTTGGGTTTACCTTGAGAGATAGCTGCCCTTTTCTTTCCCTCTCTCTTATGTTTTTTACCCTCTTCTCTTCAAATGGTGAAATTGTTCACATAGAAAAGAGCAGAAAGAGAATTTGTGGTTGTGCTTTCTGCTCCATATGGTTTAAGTCAGCTCTGTTCTGCTAATTACATGTTTGCACCAAGGGGAGGAAAGGTTTTAATTCATTAACACAGGAGTGTGTTTTTCTTAAAGGGCTGTATTTGAACTTATGTGAATCCAAACTGCCTCAGCAGTGACTGTTCTAATTTTCATGACTTTTGGAATATGAAAACACCTGTAAGAATAGTCTGGTGCCACCAGGGACTTCATAAGAATTAAAATTGAATCTTAATAGAAGGCGAAAAGAAAACTAGTGCTTTCACAATGGTTTATATCTAGTGCTCATTAAATGCTTATTTTCTGTTTCTTCAGCATGTATGTTGTGACTGCAAGAAGGATTTTTGCTCTGTTTGTTCAGTCTTACAAGAAAACCTCCGAAGATGTTCTACTTGTCAATTATTACAAGAGACAGCCTTTCAGCGCCCTCAGTTAATGCGACTGAAGGTGAAGGATCTACGGCAGTATCTCATTCTTAGAAACATACCTACTGATACCTGTCGAGAGAAGGAAGACTTGGTTGATCTAGTACTTTGCCATCATGGGCTAGGCTCTGATGATAACCTGGACACAAGCAGTCTGAATTCCTCAAGGTCCCAGACTTCTAACTTTTCTACACATTCCTTTTTTTCAAACTATACAGCCCCCTCTGCTACCCTGTCTTCGTTTCAGGGAGATTTTATGGGTGGTGACCGGACCTTAGGATCTGGAGCACTGGCACAGGTATGAGGGTATCATAACCTCAAGGGCCTTGTACATCTGTGCTCGGCCCTATCTGGTGGGGCCTTTAGGGCTTGATGACTGCAAGAGCAGAGGTTTCCATGCTGCTGAATTCTGTGCTTGCAGGCTCTCCTGATGTGAGTCTCTGAGCTTAGGTGCTAGGTGGCCTCAAAGTCAGCTGTCTGAAGGGCCTAAAAATAGCTCATTAATCTCTAGACCTTAGTTAACCTCAGTTTCCCTACCTTATATAGTTTAAATACTAACTGTTGAAATGGCGGAAAAGTAGTGTATAAATATTTGCAAGACTCTTTGTGTGTCAGTGACACACAATGGAAGCAATAATGTAAGTAATCTAATTCCAGGTGCCTTACTACAGTAAAATAGTTCTGATTTAGATAATGGTAAAGAGCTATCTGGGTTAGTGAAATACTGTGGCTATTTACTAATTTCAAAGCGATGCCAGTACAGAATATTGTCCCAGTTAAAGTCCTTGGGCATCCTGATTGAATAACATGCAAGGACTAGTAATTAATATTCAAATTGTATAGGTGAATGATTCTAAAATACTGAAATAATTGTTTAAAACAGTTCTCTCCACATTTAATTTTCTTCCTTGAAGGAAAGGTGTTTAAAAACAGAGGGAAATTTGGTCCAGTTGCCTTCTAAATAATACTCATAAATTAGGTAAGTCCAAGCTATTATTTCCCCAAATGAGAAATAAGAGCTGGCATAATTAGGATGCAAACATGAGACACATTTTGCCTTTTGTGTTACTTTTGGGTATATGTCACCACTTGGGAGGTGTGGGTCTTTGGTTGCTACAGTAATGTGTTTGTGAACCAGTGGATGGAATATTAAAAATTTTTAACTGACCTAGACTATTACAGAACTATAGTCAAAATAAAGTCAAAAGAGAAAGAAATATGAAAGAAGGTACATAGCTCAAGTAGAAGGGATTCTATTCTTCCTAAAGAAGAGTACCTCTGATTATTAAAAGAATTTCTGAAAACTAGAACTAGCATCAGCCATCAATGAATAGGTCTAGAAAGCACTCTTTGGAATTAGAATGTCTGAGTATATACACACATAAACAGAATCAGAAATGAGAAAGGAAAAATCACTATGGACATCACAGAAATACAAAGAATTATGAGAGAATACTATGAAAAATTATATGCTAACAAACTGGGTAATCTAGAAGAAATGGACAACTTTCTAGAGAAATACAACCTTCCAAGGCTGACCCAGGAAGAAACAAAAAATCTGAATAGACCAATCACCAGCAAGGAAACTGAATTGGTAATCAAAAAACTACCTAAGAACAAAACCCCTGGACAAGATGGTTTCACTGCTGAATTTTATCAAACATTTAGTGAAGACCTAATACCCATCCTCCTTAAAAGTTTTCCAAAAAGTAGAAGAGGAGGGAATACTCCCAAACTCATTCTACGAGGCCAGCATCACTCTATTACCAAAACAGGCAAAGACATCACAAAAAAAGAAAATTACAGACCCATATCCATGATGAACATAGATGCAAAAATACTCAACAAAAGATCAGCAAACCAAACTCAAAAATACATAAAAAAATCATCCATTATGATCAAGTAAGATTTATTCCAGGTGTGCAAGGATGGTAACATATTTGAAAATCCATCATCATCATCCACATCAACAAAAAGGACAAAAACCACATGATCATCTCCATAGATGCCGAAAAAGCATTCAACAAAATTCAACATCCATTCATGATAAAAACTCTCAACAAAATAGGTATAGAGAGCAAGTATGTCAAAATAATAAAAGCCATATATGACAGATCCACAGCCAACATTATACTTAACACAGAGAAGCTGAAAGCTTTTTCTTTAAGATGGGAACAAGACAAGGATGCCCACTCTCCCCACTATTATTCAACAAAGTTCTTGAGGTCCTACCCTTGGCAATCAGACAACACAAAGAAATAAAAGGCATCCAGATTGGCAAGGAAGAAGTTAAACTGTCCCTGTTTGCAGATGACATGATACTATACATAAAAAACCCTAAAGATTCCACTCTAAAACTACTAGATCTAATATCTGAATTCAGCAAAGTTGCAGGATACAAAATTAATACACAGAAATCTGTTGCATTCCTATACATGAATGATGAACTAGCAGAAAGAGAAATCAGCAGAAAGAGAAAACAATTCCATTCACAGTTGCATCAAAAAGAATAAAATACCTAGGAATAAACCTAACCAAGGAGGTGAAAGACCTATACTCTGCAAACTACAAGACACTCATGAGAGAAATTAAAGAAGATACCATTAAATGGAAACACACCCCATGCTCATGGATAGGAAGAATTAATATTGTCAAAATGGCCATCCTGCCTAAAGCAATCTACAGGTTCAATGCAGTCCCTATAAAAATACCAAAAGCATTCTTCAACAAACTAGAGCAAATAGTTCTAAAATCATATGGAACCACAAAAGACCCCAAATAGCCAAAGCAATTCTGAGAAGGAAGAACAAAGCAGGGAGGATTATGTTCCCCAACTTCAAGCTCTACTACAAAGCCACAGTGATCAAGACAATTTGGTACTGCCACAAGAACAGACCCATAGACCA